CCATCCATTGCAGTACTCAACAGAGTCTGAAAGATGTGATCACTGACTGGTACCACATGGTGGTGCCACAATGCCTCCTCACTGGTCTTATGCGGCTGTTCAACGACACACTCAATGTGTGGTGAGCTGCGCTCAGAGCCATGGGCATTGATACGTTCAGAATAGACCGGAGGCGTCCATACCTTGGTTATACCTGTAACCCCGGTATTCCCGCTCTCCGTGAACGTCGCACGGGTCTGATCTGCGCTGACTGAGGCATTAGCCTGCAGTAAGGCGTCATTCCCGGCTAGCGGCTGCGCCTTCATGTCACATTGGGACGGAGGCAACTGCCTGCTATGTGAGACCTTTTCTACAGAGCTCCTAGGAGTCTGTAGTAAGAGATCTTTATTAGGTGAGCTAAGGCTGCGCCTTGCTACCTTTACCCTTTTCCTCTCTTGAGCGCGCTCAGCTACACACTCTAAGTGGGTTGAGCTACACTCAAGATGGTGAGGGAGAGACATAGAACGTGAAGTGTTCTGTACCTTATGGAATAAATGTCCTTCTTTGACAATGTCAGAGAGAACCAGCTCTTTATTCACACAATGAAAAACACTACCCTCCACGCCCTGAACAGTGGGGTGGGGGGGAACAGTAGGCCCCTCTGCGTCACGCGCCGGGCCATCCTCCGTTCTCTCCCCCTCGCCTCGTCAGAGATGCCTGCGCTTCTGGGAGACCTTCTGGTGCTGCCAGGCTGGCTTCGTGACGACCTCCCTCGCCGGCGGGACCGTCGCTGCCACCGTCGCTGCTGGAGGGGCCGAGCCCGCTCTCCTGCTGCCTGTGGTGTGCGCCTGTCGCCTGGCCCGTCGCCTCCCTGTAGCTTTGCTGGGGGCGTTGGAGGTGGACGGGTTGGCTGGGGCTTTGCTGGCCTTCATTGCCAACGGCAAATGTTTCGCCAGGTGCCTCCTCTCCTCGTCCAGTTTGGCAATGCGTTCGGTCGCGTCTTTCACGGCGAGGCCAAATAGGCCCTCGCTGGAGACGGGGGCGTTGAGCAAAGATGCCCTGTCGGTCTCCTTCATGGCTGTCATGGAGAGCCAGAGGTGCCGTTCCGTGACCACCGAGGTGGCCATGGTTCTGCCCGCACATATGGCAACCGCCTGCGTCAGGTGGAGGATGGCTCCAGAAATCTTGGAGGCCTCCTCCACTTCCTCGCTGGTCATCTCAGACCTGCCCGTTGTGAGACGGGACAGGGAGGCCGCGAGGAGGGCGATGTTATTCGCCGCCGCTACGCTCTGGGCTCCCAGCGTAAAGGATTTCTCAGCCAATTGGGCTGTGAACCTGTCCTTTTGGGCTGGCAGAGTGGCCTTCTTGGAGGCTGCCCAGGGACTCGAACCCGGCACTAGGAACGCCGTAATGGCGCCTTCGAGCCTGGGGATTCCCCTAGCTGCCCACTCATATCCGCTCACTCTGGTGAAAGGAGTATACGCTCTGGCCGGCGAACGCGCCGCCAGAGGTGTTCCCCACGAGCCCTCGACATACTTGCCGAGAGAGGGCAAGGCTGGAGCCATTGGCTCAGCTGCTCTCCTCGGCTTGGAGTAAGGGCCGCCCTCCATCAGGTCCACCTCCATAGGAAGGGGAACTGGGGGCAGCGCAATCTCAAGTCGGGTGGCTGCCTTCTCAATGAGCTCGGGAAAGTCCGAGCGCAGAGAGGCTGCCGCGAAGGACAGGGCTTCTGACCTAGCAGAGCCCATGTCGTCATCGCACAAGGATCCTTCTGACCTCGCGCTCTCAGAATGAAAGGGGGTCTTGAAGGTAGGCGCCAGAGGTCTGGATTGTCCTACTGGGATATCCGTCTCGGCGCCCTCCTTGTCATCCTCCGATTCTGCACTGTCCTCTGATGCCTCCGAAGCAGAGGCGAGTGTGGACATTACGTCATCCAGAGGGACTTCCTCCTTAAAAAACGCCCGACGCTGCTTCCTCTCCTTCATAGGAAGGAGGGCGCAGGAGGCGCAATTAGGAGGGTTGTCGAGACCGTCCTCGGCGTGCTGCGGCCCCAAACACACGAAACAAAGGTCGTGGGGGTCCGAGGTAGCCATGGTGGTACACCGACACAGGGCCCTTAAAAGGGCCTTTGGGGGTGGGAAATTCCCTGGTGTGCTCATGGTAGAAGACGTTGACGGCTGGCAGTCAACGGCGAAATTCTTCTTTGAGTCTTCGTTGTGGCTTCTTCACTAGTCCAGTCGCTGAAGATAATGGGAGGCAGATTGAGGGAACGGGGTTCCTTATATAGGGACACCTGTACTCCTATTGGCTGTAGGTGTGTGCATAATTTTGCTTCAGGCTGTTTCTGCCTTAGGGCAGAGGGTAAACCACTAGGAGCAGAGCTCCCCTATGGGGCGGAGCTCCACGATATAGAACTAGTTAGTTACACGTCAACGAATAAAAACAAGTTAAGCTGGCTAGCACATCTGTGTGGCAATGTGGCTCTAGCATGCTAGCTGGCTATGCCAGTTGGCTAACTGAAGCAACATTATTACATCTTACCATAGCTAGGTACCAGACAGTACAACGTGGCTAAGTATTAAATTAATGACTGGCTCAGTGATTAGCTCGCTTGCTACAACCAACTCGGTACTGTTCAAGCCTCACATTAACGGTACTGTTAGATAGCTAAATCAAAGTGGCTAGCTAGCTTCTAGCGTTACTGTAGCTAGCTAACGTTAGATAGCTAAATACAACAAAAGCAGAGCTAAAACGCTGCGTTACCTTTTGAAATCTCTCATAAGTCGTCTTCTAGCTGGAGTAGACATGATTCAAAACGTATACTTTGGTCATAAAAATGTATCGAATCGATGTTATTAGGGGTAAATCTTTCGTCTGTGATTTTCTCTTCTCCCCAGCACATCTACCGTGACGTCATGTACCTCCACAGGGGAGAAATCGCAAGGACATTCGATTGGAACAGTGCACTTTCAAATTAACACTTTTTCCAAAAAATGTGAACAGTGCATCCAATTTATACGACACCTTCACTTGGTTAGTATTCAAACCTTTAGACATATGAATTGTCACACCAGGTCTCAGGGATGTCTAGCCCAATAATGGACTAATGTTACTCCTTGTAGTCCATGGACCTTACATGTTCTGTTTAGAGCCAAATTGGCTCTGGAAGCCAAAACAGTCAAATATTCCATCTAAACTTTAATCGATTCTCAATTGTGGTACGGTTCTAGAAACATAAAGCCCAATATTTTCATATCACATAAAAATAATTGTACAAATGCAAAATATACACTTACCGAACTTTAATCGATTCTCAATTGTGGTACGGTTCTAGAAACATAAAGCCCAATATTTTCATATCACATAAAAATAATTGTACAAATGCAAAATATACACTTACCGTACACTGTTTTAACACAGTTGCAGCCGACAGTATTTTTCAGTAACACATTTATGGCACCTTCTTGCGTTTACACATAGGTGTTCAGAGACGCAGATAGATAATTAACACAGGTAGTCCACTCTGTTTTCAGTAAACAAGCGCTGTAACATGGAAATATGGCCATGTAGGAACCTTGAACCTATAAATGTGTGTAGAAATGTAACCTATGAAAGATACGTTCTTTATGTTTCCAAAACTGTACCTCAAGCCATGCATTTTAACATTCAGAAGGAGTGTCAGAGGACTTGAAACAAAACTCCCCTGGCCAGAATATACTATCCTCAATAGGCACTAAAGATAGTAATCGTATATGAATGGGTTAAGGGATGGCTAACTGGAAATTCCTTTGGTCTCTAATTTACTGAGTTAGCTTGGTAAATCAGCTTTTGGTTTTCTTGCACCTTATTTGTGGAGCAATCTTCAAAAGTTCGTAAATTTGATGTTTTGGTGCCTCGAGGTCTTGCATAAAGATTAGTTTACATGTCACCTCAATCTTGAGTATTCACTTGGTTACTATTCATGCAGTGTCTTTCAACTGTACGACATTTCCAGTGTTTCAATTTGGAATGTTCTAGAACGCCTCTCAATTGTGATCAATTTTGCCTGTTGTTATGGTAACCATGTTCTAATTTCTCACCTCTTGTTTGTCAGAATTCTTCTTGGGTGGATACTCCTGGGAAGAAAAAAAAACTGAACAGTGCCTTGCAAACATTAAGTGGTCTGTCAGTTTAAGGTATTGTTTATTCCAACCATGAAATATAGAAAATGTATGAGAGCAGTCAGGAGAAAAAATGAAATAAATGCAGTCTTTGTATCTACTCAGCAACAAGTATTCTGACCACATGATGTGTATTAACCTTATATATGTTTTCACTATAAATCAAGTAATTGTGATTTCATTTGAAAGTATTACACTGGATGTTGGATGTTTGCCTTTATATCTGTTTTTAAATTAATGTATTTACCATATGTACAGCCCAATGAAGGATGATGGATATGTATGAGAACCTTGGTGTGGTGGGTGAGGGGAGCTATGGCACAGTGATGAAGTGTCGACACAAGGAGATGGGGCACATTGTGGCCATCAAGAGGACAAAACCATGAAAAATATTATTATTATTATTTATTTTTTGTCATTTAGCAGACGCTCTTATCCAGAGTGAATTACAGTTAGTGAATGCATACATGTATTTGTTTTTTGTTTTTTTCATACTGGACCCCCGTGGGAAACGAACCCACACCCCTACCGGCCAAACCCTCCCCTACCTTGGACAACGCTGGACCAATTGTGCGCCGCCCATGGGTCTCCCGGTCGCGGCCGGCTGTGACTGAGCCTGGACTCAAACCAGGATCTCTAGTGGCACAGCTAGCACTGCGATGCAGTGTCTTAGACCACTGCGCCACTCAGGATTATCATGAGAGAAATCAAACTTTGAGGGTGAGGAATTTATACTGATCAGTGACTGTCTCAAATATTGGGTACAAGTCACTCATTGGCTACAGTCCAACTAATGTCACATCCATGATAACAGCATACTAACTACTACAACTTTAATTCTGTTCATATGTTTTTACACAGCAATTTCGCCATGAAAACCTTGTGAACATGCGGGAGGTATTACGGTTCAAGAAGCGCTTGTATGTTGTCTTTGAGTACATTGACCGAACAGTTCTGGAAGACCTAGAAAGATACCCTCGTGGTTTGGACAGCAAACGCCTCAGAAAGTACATGATCCAAATTCTAGCAGCCATGGATTACCTTCACACCAGCAATGCAAGTATTCTCATGTCATAGACTCAGCCTAGTGAGTTTACAGGATGTAAAACACATAATGTCAAGAGGTCAATCAGCTGGTGTAAAGTGGGTTGAACAATCTTGTAAAGAGTTACAGCATACACAAAAGTTGGGATGACAAAGAAACTTCATGACAGTAAAACAGTAGTTCTTCACTGGCCTGAAATATGCAACATTTCTCAACAGATCTTTCCCAGAGACGTCAAACCGGAGAAAGTGCTTGTGTCTAACTCTGGGGTGGGGAAGCTCTGTGACTTTGGGTTTGCCAGAACCTTGGCACCGACTGGGGAGCCTTTCACAGACTATCTGGCCATGTGGCCACGAGGTGGTACAGAGCCCCAGAACCTTTAGTGGCAGACACCACTTACAGCAAGTGGGTATCAAGCAGAACCATGGCTATCAGAGCAGTGTTGAAACTTGTGTGAATGTATTATGGAATAAGACCACAGTAATTACAATGTCATACCTTCTAAGGGTTCCTCATTATTTTGGTACAGGTCTATCACGTTTCTTTCGTCTGTGTTTTTTGATAGAGTGCTGATAGATTCTCTGAACCTTCTTTATTAGACCTGTAGATGTGTGGGCCATTGGCTGCTTGATTATAGAGATGGCTACCAGCAATGCTTTTCTGATGGGGACTTCTGACCTGGACCAGGTGCATAAGATAGTCAGCAAAGTGGGTAAGTACTGCCCAATGGGTGTAGTAGCTTGAGAGCCAATCTGTTTGTGCTATCATATCAACTCCTTGTCACTCACTGTCATGCCATATTTGGCTTGACAATGACTAATAAGCAACGGAGTTGGCAAGAGCACAAACAGAGCTGGGACCAACAACAAAAGATCACCCTTGCCTTTCTTGCACTAACACACACACTTTTATTTTCTTAATAGCACTGACTTTCCTGATAGCTGCTTTATTGAGGAAAAAATGGCTTACTATGGATGTAATATGTGGTTATCTCACCTAGCTAGAATCCTTAGTTGCTACATCCATATTTGGACTTATAAATTAATGATATATACCCATTGATCCTTGAAGAATATAACTTCTAAATGCCTCATGGGCTTAGTTCAACTGTCGTAACCCATCAGAACCCAAAAAATTAGCTTTTTTTACTCCATTGTTTGTAAACAATGTAAATGTAAACAAACACTGTTTAGCTCCAACATGGTTAAAACTGTAATTTTGAAATCATGGATGGTCAGTCCTTGCATCCATAGCTCTGTCTAGGAATTTGAGAGTGGTTAAATTTCTCCAGGCCCATCCCTCAGCTTTTTACCAAAACAGAGGCGGGGTGTCGCTTTGTTATTGTTTCCATTAAGGATTCTAGCTTTAAGATGATTGCACTAACTGTAAGTGGCTCTGGATAAGATCGTCTGCTAAATGACTGTAATGTAAATGTAAATGTGTGGGCATCGATGGTGGAAATGTGGACTTGATAACATCTGAGGCCTCTTAATATTGTGGATGTAGTTCAAATAACTGGGTATTTACATTGGCTTAATCAAACTGTTGTCCATTCTTCCAAGGGAGCACAGATAACCCACAGCTTTCCCGATATCAATAGGGCAACAGGCCTGCTAGTATTTCACCATTGTTGAAAAGTAGGTCACAAAGAGACAAAAAGGCAGTGTAAGATTGCATCCCAAATGGAACCCTATTCTCTTGACCCATTCTGGTCAAAAGTAATGCACTAGAGCAGGGTTTCCCAAACTCGATACTGGGGCCCCCCATGGGTGCACGTTTAGTTTTTTGCCCTAGCACTGCACAGCTGATTCAAATAATCAAAGTTTGATGATGAGTTGGTTATTTGAATCAGCTGTGTAGTGCTAGGGCAAAAAACTAAACGTGCACCCAGGGGGGGGGGGGGGGGGGGGGGGGGGGGGGGGGGGGGGGGGGGGGCAGGACTGAGTTTGGGAAACCCTGCACTAGAGAATAAGGTGCTATTTGGGACGCATCCTAATTTTTCCTGGCTCCCCAATGAATTTGTTATTTTCATGATGCTTAACAGATTTATATCATATGTGGCTTTGTGGCTTATCAAGGGGGCAGAGAGAGACAATTGGCTTCACTCTATAAATAAACAGTATTTCAATCCCTGACCAACAGCGACAATCCCCCTCAGGAGACTGAAAAGATTTATCATGAGTCCTCAGATCCTCAAAAAGTTCTACAGCTGCACCATCAAGAGCATCCTGAGTTGTTGCATCACTGCCTAGTATGGCAACTGCTCGGCTTCCGACCACAAGGCACTACAGAGGGTAGTGCTGGCGGCCCAGTCTAGGTCAGTGTTCTCTCTGCTACCGCACGGCAAGCGGTACCGGAGCGCCAAGTCTAGGTCCAAAAGGCTTCTTAACAGCTTCTACCCCCAAGCAATAAGACTCCTGAACATCTAATCAAATGGCTACCCCGTCTTTTTCGCTGCTGCTACTCTCTGTTTATTATCTATGCATAGTCACTTTAATAACTCTACCTACATGTACATATTACCTCAATTACCTCGACTAACCTGTGCCACCGCACATTGACTCTGTACCGGTACCCCCTGTATATAGCCTCGCTATTGTTATTTTACTGCTGCTCTTTAATTATTTTTTTGTTATCTATTTTTTACTTAACACTTATTTTTCTTAAAACTGCATTGTTGGTTAAGGGCTTGTAAGTAAGCATTTAACTGTAAAGTCTACACCTGTTGTATTCGGCGCATGTGAACATTTTGATTTGATTTGATTTGACAAACAAACCTATGCTGAACTAAACTGTGGCATTCAGGCTTTTACCAAGGCCTACACAAGGAAAAGCCCAATGATCCTTTTGCATTTAGGCCCTGGACATAAACGCAAGCTAAATAGAGGGGATCGAGAGAACATTGCTGTTGTTGTTTTTTCCTTGGGTGCTTTCATTAGTATAACTAACTTGGCAGAGATACGCAGGCCTAATACTGTGAGAGAGAGAAGTGGTCCCCTCCATATTAGTCTTTTATCAGGTTCAATCTGTGGTTCATTAATTCTCTGTGGTGGAATGGGATACTCAGGCTATTTGACTCTCTAATCAGCCCCAGTGTGTTCCTCTCTGTCTCCGCTGAGAGTGGCTCTCTGGCGGGAGCTAATGGCAGAGTGTCAGTGAAGATGGAAGCCAATAGCCACAGTGGCAGGTAGATAGGGACGTGGAGAGGCTGACAGACCATCTTCTCGCCTCCACCAGCTGTCTGTGGACAGAACTCATCCTCCCAGCAGACTGAAAGAGCTATTTACAACACTGTGTGTCACCCTAATGATTCATTACACTCCATAGTGCGGTGATGGCTGACACCACGCTGAGTGCAGGGGATGTAACCAGTGCCATGTACTGTCTATCAAGGCTAATCAGAAGTGAAGCTATGTGATTGTACAGCTACTATCTCATTATAGTGGTGTCGTTTTACTCCTGAATGTGTGATGGTCATAATTGGATTACAAAGATAATTGAAGTACAACAATTTGAGGAATGAGAGGACCTCAGGATGGCTCCCCTTCTATTATCAGTTATGTAATGGCGGCTTTCAGTTCACCTATTGACTGTCATAAAAGTGTGTGTACAGTAAAACTATGTTCAGTAAATTGACACACAATTGCGTGTTTTGTCTTGATAGTGCCTTTGACCCGCCATCAGCAGGACCTGTACTTCTAGAACCCTATCTTTGCTGTGGCCAGCCTCTCTGAGGTGCAGCTCCTCAGGGACCCCAGGAAGAAGTACTACAAACTCCACCCCTTAGTGGCTGAAATAGTGGATGTAAGTCTGCAGAGAGATAGTGAAGAATGTGTATGGTGTGGGACAGGAGTTTTTTCCTGACTATGTCACCAGGAAAAAATTGAGGAGATTTTCCATGTCAGGTCACAAGATCTGGAAAAACTCCTGGGCCTAACAATGTGGTTTGCGTTGGTTGTTTACTTTCACAGTGACGGTCTCCTTTTTTTCAGTCATGCCTACAGATCGATCCTGCTGACAGGGCTATGTGCTCCATGTTGCTCATTCACCGATGCTTCTCCAAAGACGGGTTCCCTGAAAGGTGAGTCAGGGCAACCTTGCATGTTGAGTGTACTTGGAGAAGCAATTAGCCTCTGAGAGAGTGGAGAGAGACGTTTGACCTACATTCTGACCTGCTTACATACAAGATGGGAATGTGGTACTATATTGTCACAGTGTCATAATCTGGCCACACACATGTTGATTTGCCTTGTGTTTCTAGCCTTGAACCTTCCTTGAAATTGTTTAACGTTTATGAGATACTGTGAAGTAGTTGTAATAATGTCATGATGAACTGCCATTGACCTGAATGACTGCTGGTTCCTGCTCCAGATTCAAACCAGAGATACAGGCGTTGATATTGAAAGATGCCGAGGTCAATAGCATGCACAGGATCCACAGTGGCTTGTGGGAGGCACCAGAGGAGCAGGGAGCAGTAGTCCCATGCTCATGTAACAGAAAACCAGTGAAGGTACAAACTACATTGACCCTTAGTCATTTAGCATATTCTTACCCAGAGCATTTTATCATCTGTATGTGCAATAAAGGGGCTGAGCAACTATGTAAATACAAGTCAAAGCCTATATACTGTGCTATAGAAATGATTGTACAAGACCCATACCAGTCAACCATATTGTACATGGACTGCTATTTGTTTTAGGACACTGAGAAGGACAGGCGTGGGAAGGTTTTTAGAAATGTTGGCAAATTTATAAAAAATAAAAAACTGATATTACATTTACATAAGTATTCAGACCCTTTACTCAGTACTTTGTTGAAGCACCTTTGGCAGCGATTACAGCCTCGAGTCTTCTTGGGTATGATGCTACAAGCTTGGTATTTGGGCAGTTTCTTCCATTCTTCTCTGCAGATCCTCTCAAACTCTGTCAGGTTGGATGGGGAGCGTCTCTGCACAGCTATTTTCAGGTCTCTCCAGAGATGTTTGATCGGGTTCAAGTCCGGGCTCTGGCTGGGCCACTCAAGGACATTCAGATACTTGTCCCGAAGCCACACCTGCGTTGTCTTGGCTGTGTGCTTAGGGTCGTTGTCCTCTTGGAAGGTGAACCTTTGCCCCAGTCTGAGGTCCTGAGCGCTCTGGAGCAGGTTTTCATCAAGGATCTCTGTACTTTGCTCCGTTCATCTTTCCTTCGATACTGACTAGTCTCTCAGTCCCTGCCGCTGAAAAACATCCCCACAGCATGATGCTGCCACCACCATGCTTCACCGTAGGGATGGTGCCAGGTTTCCTCCAGACCTGACGCTTGGCATTCAGGCCAAAGAGTTCAATCTTGGTTTCATCAGATCAGAGAATCTTGTTTCTCATGGTCTGAGAGTCTTTAGGTGCCTTTTGACAAACTCCAAGCGGGCTGTCATGTGCCTTTTACTGAGGAGTGGCTTCCGTCTGGCCACTCTACCATAAAGGCCTGATTGGTGGAGTGCTGCAGAGATGTTTGTCCTTCTGGAAGGTTCTCCCATCTCCACAGAGGAACTCTGGAGCGCTGTCAGTGACCATTGGGTTCTTGGTCACCTCCCTGACCAAGGCCCTTCTCCCCTGATTGCTCAGTTTGGCTGGGCGGCCAGCTCTAGGAAGGGTCTTGGTGGTTCCAAACTTTTTCCATTTAAGAATGATGGAGGACACTGTGTTCTTGGGGACCTTCAATGCTGCAGAATTGTTTTGGTATTCTTCCCCAGATCTGTGCCTCGACACAATCCTGTCTCGGAGCTCTACGGACAATTCCTTCGACCTCATGGCTTGGTTTTTGCTCTGACATGCAATGTCAACTGTGGGACCTTATATAGACAGGTGTGTGCCTTTCCAAATCATGTCCAATCAATTGAATTTACCACAGTCGGACTCCAATCAATTTGTAGAAACATCTCAAGGATGATCAATGGAAACAGGATGCACCTGAGCTCAATTTCGAGTCTCATAGCAAAGGGTCTGAAAAAAGTATTTGATCCCCTGCTGATTTTGTACGTTTGCCCACTGACAAAGAAATTATCAGTCTATAATTTTAATGGTAGGTTTATTTGAACAGTGAGAGACAGAATAACAACAACAAAATCCAGAAAAACGCATGTCAAAAATGTTATAAATTGATTTGCATTTTAATGAGGGAAATAAGTATTTGACCCCCTCACAATCAGAAAGATTTCTGGCTCCCAGGTGTCTTTTATACAGGTAACGAGCTGGGATTAGGAGCACACTCTTAAAGGGAGTGCTCCTAATCTCAGTTTGTTACCTGTTTAAAAGACACCTGTCCACAGAAGCAATCAATCAATCAGATTCCAAACTCTCCACCATGGCTAAGACCAAAGAGCTCTCCAAGGATGTCAGGGACAAGATTGTAGACCTACACAAGGCTGGAATGGGCTACAAGAACATCGCCAAGCAGCTTGGTGAGAAGGTGACAACAGTTGGTGCGATTATTCGCAAATGGAAGAAACACAAAAGAACTGTCAATCTCCCTCGGCCTGGGGCTCCATGCAAGATCTCACCTCGTGGAGTTGCAATGATCATGAGAACGGTGAGGAATCAGCCCAGAACTACACGGGAGGATCTTGTCAATGATCTCAAGGCAGCTGGGACCATAGTCACCAAGAAAACAATTGGTAACACACTACACCGTAAAGGACTGAAATCCTGCAGCGCCCACAAGGTACCCCTGCTCAAGAAAGCACATATCCAGGCCCGTCTGAAGTTTGCCAATGAACATCTGAATGATTCAGAGGAGAACTGGGTGAAAGTGTTGTGGTCAGATGAGACCATAATGGAGCTCTTTGGCATCAACTCAACTCGCCGTGTTTGGAGGAGGAGGAATGCTGCCTATGACCCCAAGAACACCATCCCCACCGTCAAACATGGAGGTGGAAACATTATGCTTTGGGGGTGTTTTTCTGCTAAGGGGACAGGACAACTTCACCGCATCAAAGGGACGATGGACGGGGCCATGTACCGTCAAATCTTGGGTGAGAACCTCCTTCCCTCAGCCAGGGCATTGAAAATGGGTCGTGGATGGGTATTCCAGCATGACAATGACCCAAAACACACGGCCAAGGCAACAAAGGAGTGGCTCAAGAAGAAGCACATTAAGGTCCTGGAGTGGCCTAGCCAGTCTCCAGACCTTAATCCCATAGAAAATCTGTGGACGGAGCTGAAGGTTCGAGTTGCCAAACGTCAGCCTCGAAACCTTAATGACTTGGAGAAGATCTGCAAAGAGGAGTGGGACAAAATCCCTCCTGAGATGTGTGGAAACCTGGTGGCCAACTACAAGAAACGTCTGACCTCTGTGATTGCCAACAAGGGTTTTGCCACCAAGTACTAAGTAATGTTTTGCAGAGGGATGAAATACTTATTTCCCTCATTAAAATGCTAATCAATTTATAACATTTTTGACATGCGTTTTTCTGGATTTTTTTGTTGTTATTCTGTCTCTCACTGTTCAAATAAACCTACCATTAAAATTATAGACTGATCATTTCTTTGTCAGTGGGCAAACATACACAATCAGCAGGGGATCAAATATATAGTACCTTATCACCTCTACTTTGTAACAAATGTGTATGTAGGTCATGATAGTACAGTTACAGACAAATAGCCGGCTGTGAATTCAATAAGTAGGTGATTATATTTAATGAATGTATACTTGACTTGTTGACTATTGATTAGAACATTACATTTACGTCATTTAGCAGACGCACTTATCCAGAGCGACTTACAGTTAGTGAGTGCATACATTTTTTATACTGGCCCCCCGTGGGAATCGAATCCACAACCCTGGCGTTGCAAGTGCCATGCTCTACCAACTGAGCTACAGGAGGCCTTATGATTGTGTTGTTTTTGGTTGTATTGCAAAGTGACAGCCATAATAACTTGCAGGTTGAGATGTCCAATTTGGCTAAAAAGAAGGTCAAGTCAGTGAGAGATGTTTGCTTCCCTGGACATCCTGTGTATGGCCACCAGATGGAGCTAAAGTCTACAGATGGTAAACTGCGTTGTCATGGTTGCTGTAACTCTACGTCTATCCTACTGGTCTTTCTACTTCGTGATCGACTGTAAAGCTCTGGGTAGAAATTGCCCTTTTTCTCAGATCCAGGATCATCATACCCTCACCAAATCTTAACCATTACTGTTAGAGGATTGGGAAAACACACTCCCACGGTAAATCAATCCCACAAATTGAATCTGATGCCAGACTTGAAGACGCGTCATTTGCTAAATTAATCTGTCTGATTTAATTGAAATTCAAAAGAAATTGGCCCAAAACCAAACCCTATGAGCACTGAGCGAGAATGAAAAAAGAGGTCTGTGCTGTAGCCTACAGTAGCACCTCTATTATTGAATTCAAATAACCTTTATCACATAATGACAGAGATAAACATCCATTTACTTATTCGAGACATTTTGCCCAGTTCATACTTAATGGGATGTCGCAGCAGCTCGTTGCTCCAGGACAGACAGAGCATGTGGCCGGAATAATGTTACTCTAGGATTAGGCCCACAGCTCTTCTGTATTGTGTTACGTGTGAATGTCTCCGGAGGGTCTGCTGCAGGGAGAGTCCAATTCTAAAACCGTCCAAACAAGCCGCTGGCCATGCCTCTGTAATTATAGGGTGTGTCCCAAATATAGCACTCTATTTTCTTTATAGTGCACTACTTTTGACCAGGGAGTAAGGTGCCATTGAGAGACGCACATATACCGAATGTCCTCTTGTCACGAGGATACCAAATAATGTGGCTATATCTCTGCCAATCATGGAATGATGCCCATCTCGGGGAAAACACAAAGCAGGGCTCCATAATCAGGAATATTGTGTTTGTGTGAGTTGATGAGATGTTGTAATGTCGGAAATTATGAATAATCCTAAATACATACAGTTGAAGTCGGAAGTTTACATACACTTAGGTTGGAATCATTAAAACTAATTTTTCAACCATGCCACAAATTTCTTGTTAACAAACTATAGTTTTGTCAAGTCGGTTAGGACATCTACTTTGTGCATGACACAAGTAAGTTTTCCAACAATTGTTTACAGACAGATTATTTAACTTATAATTCACTGTATCACAATTCCAGTGGGTCAGAAGTTTACATACACTAAGTTGACTGTGCCTTTAAACAGCTTGGAAAATTTCAGAAAATGATGTCACCTTTTGAGTCAATTGGAGGTGTACCTGTGGATGTATTTCAAGGGCTACCTTCAAACTCAGTGCCTCTTTACTTGACATCATGGGAAAATCAAAATAAATCAGCCAAGACCTCAGAAAAAAATGTGTAGACCTCCACAAGTCTGGTTCATCCTTGGGAGCAATTTCCAAACGCCTGAAGGTACCACGTTCATCAGTACAAACAACAGTATGCAAGTATAAACACCATGGGACCATGCAGCCTTCATACCGCTCAGGAAGGAGACGCGTTCTGTCTCCTAGAGATGAACGTACTTTGGTGCGAAAAGTGCAAATCAATCCCA